ATAGCTTGGCAAGATCATCTGAGAATGTCTTCCTAATGACCTCTCTCTTGAGCTTGAGAGCAGCAGTTACAAGCCCAGATTCTGGAGTCCAAGGTTCAGACAACAGCTTGATCTTCACAGGAATCTCGAATTTCTCCAGTTTTGCATCCTTCGCCGCCTGTTCATAGCAATTTAAACGAAATCGGAAATTCAAATATAACGGAATTAAAAAAAAATTATAACAATAATAATGAAAGCCCTTCCTTTATAGTTTCATGCACATGCCTGTTAGTGTAAGATCCTCTCTCTATAGGCTTAATTGCAAAAGGCGCCCTTGATGTCAGTCTTATTACCAAGAAAATCAAGTTAATTACATCCTGGAGGACTAGCTAACAACGAAGACTGATAAAAATCAAAACCGCTTTCGATTGAATTTCGAGCTAAAGTGAATTAATTTTAAATAAAGTTGATTGAATGGAGGATCGAGTGAGATTTTGAGTTTGTAATTAAATAATATTTGAAATGCAATGATTAAAGTTGATGTAATGTAAAAGTATGAGAGATGTGATTGGAAATGACAGGTAGTTAAAATTATGCGAGCGGATGAATAGCGAATTAAAGTTGATGTGATGTGTGAGGATGATCATATTGATAATATTTAGGAGAGTTGAGTTTGATTAAATATGTGTTAGATTTTAGTTGGATCTTTTTGCAGTCAAGCAAAAATAGAGGATAATTTATGTAATTACCCCAAAAACTCGAAGAGCGTGAGAAGAAATAACGTACCTTGACTAATGAATTGGAGACTTCTTTGATGGCCTCTTCCTTTTGGCACAGTTCGGAAAAATCGGAGTACCTAATCCCCTGCTGTGCGGCCCAGGCTTCCAATGAGGGCTGTGAGGCAACCAACAAGGCCACACAGTAACTGTGGAAAGAATCTGCATGTAACATGATGTTGTCGACATATGGGCTTACAATAAGGGCAGACTCAACCTGCAAGTGAAAAAAAGATTGTCAATAGCTTTATAACATTCTCGTTCAACAGGAAGACACACAAGAATATGGATAACTCCAAAATCGGTCCCTGGGTTTCAGCCTAATTAGAAAAGAACCCAGTTAAGTTTCAGAGATTACTAAGAAGGCATGAATTTCATTTCACCAGAGTGTTTTTGAAAAGGGGGGTCTGATTCTAATATTTCTACAGACGTTCGGGGATTTTGAAATTCTTTGTTTGTTAATGAAGAGGTGGATGTAAGGCAAAAATGCATTTTTAGTCCCGTTGGTTTAACGTCATATCAACTTTAGTCTCAAGATTCCAACTTTTCACCAATATTAACTTGCTGAGGTTTGTATTTGTTTTGTATTTTGTCATAATTCAGAAATACCAAAAAAAAA